TTATCTAAGCATGGGATGGAACCGAAGTATGTTCTATGCAACCCTTCTGAATAGTCAGTATTTCTGACTGAAATAGATGGCTAAAGAAATTATTTCCATATGCTAATGACTATACTCAATGTTCTTCTTCCTGACACCATTATTATTCCCACCTCAATAAATATAAGTTGTAATTTCTTTGATGGAACAGCACAAAGCCTATATGAGTTTTAAATTAAATTTTATCCCCAGGAGTTTGGGGGTTAAACCTTCTGTGATTTAGTGTGAAATTTTGCTATCTAAGACGCAATTTATGAGCTTGTCTGTCACAATTCACTGGCATGAAACATCTATTTATTATGAGATTCAAAACTTCAGTTCTCAAATGTTCTGAGACTCTCTCCTCTAACCAAATATTATTGAAGGGAGATCATGTGCAAATAAAAACACAATTAGGAGAAGGAAGAGAGCACAGTTTTTAGAGATCAAATCCTATATGTCAAGGATAGAGAATGTGAAATCCCAAGAGCCTTATGCAACCCTCCAAAACCTTGGTAGATCCACAGAATGCTCCAAAATTTGCCTTCATATTGTAATGGACAACAAGATTAAATATATTTTAATTAATGTTATTATGTTTATATTCAAATTATATATTTAAAACCTTGGCCCTATTCTCCTTTGGAATGCAGCTCCAGCAAATGAAGCAAAGTCTAGTATGGCCCTCAACACCCCGCCAAGACATTAGTGCTATATACTATAACTGGTAGTTGGAGAAGGTAACAAAATGTGAAAAAATAAAACATATTTTGGAAAAAAATTAAAGTGGGATTGAAAATATTACTGAATATATCGAGTAATCAAATAATCATAGATCCAGTGGGTGGAGGAATAGAATGAAATGCCTTGAAGAACGATATGGCTGGAATGCAACACAACATTTTATGACGAGTCCTGAAAGCCAACATTTCATAAAGTAGCAGGATAGTTTCAAGGGCTGCTCTTGCAATGTCTTTGGCTAGTGTTGTACAGAGAAACTATATATGTTCCAACTAAATAAGGTTTTTAAAATAATGTAACAAATCAATCCTCACTTCAAAGAAGACCCTATATAAAAATGGAGTAAAAGAATCTAACTACTATATTAATAAACAAAATAATCTATAATCAATAGTCTACATTTTATCATGCCTACTTCTCACTTTAGCTAACAAGTAGCACTTCTGAGGTGGTTTACTGGCTCAATCCAATAAAACAATAAAAATGTGGTTATGATTTATTATTTTGTCATTCTCAACAGCTTGCTCCACAAGCTCAAATTTTTGACAGTATGAAAATAGACATCGTTTTCCCAAATTTCCTGCCAAACAGCTGTGAAAGGCATGATTACAAAGTTCAGGCTTCCCTCATTCCAACAGTTCCATCCCATATAGCTAACTGGGACAAATATTTAAAGAGGCACCTAGAGAGTCAAAAGTGGTCCATCCCTGTGCTGAAATAAGGGAAGCCTCACCCTGTTTTCCAGTCTTGCGTCAGAAATATACAGAAATAAAGGTGCCAGCTACTCTGCGGGAAGTAATACTAACTTAGTGTAAAACTCCTACTAAATGTATAATGATGACTTTGGGTAATGAGACTGTAAATTGCTCAGCAGCGCTCAGTTCATTACAGGCCCAACCACTGAGAGCTACAGTGTTATATAAATAAGTCATTAGAGTTACAAAAACCTGGCATTTATTTTCTTGGCAATCAGTGTGGGATGGCCCCTGGGCTGTAAATTGTTATTGCTAAAATAATCGTTTCATGGACACCAAACTAAGAATTATCAAGGCTATTTGAGAAACAGAAAAAAATAGACCAAATTACCATTGGGATAAAATTATTTCCCAATATGTAGTATCATTCTAAATTTATTGAAACACAGTTTGCTTGTTCCAGATTTATGTTGTTTAAACTTATTAAGAATTGGTTTAAAAGACCGATTCTCATTTAGCTGTTTCAGCCTGTTTCTAGGGAGATTTTTATACCAGTTCAGGAATTTGCAAACATTGTTTAACAAAAGATTATTGTAAAGGAACAATAGAAAAGCTATCTATCTATGTATACTAGATGCTTCTTTCAAGATCATTACTCTATGACAGAAAGAGAGGTGCTACGGATGCCCAAAGAAATGTTGCTTGGAGTCAGAATATTTGATTCAGTACTACTATTACTAATAATAGCTCTGTAATTTACTCCATAATTTTCTTTTCTCCCTTTTTGCAGTAGCAAATTCTTAGCTCAGCTTGCAACTTCAAAGGTAACCTTAGAACCTAAATCTGTAACTGAGCAGTGCAACCAATAATGACCTAAGCTTGTAAGAGCAAGAGAATTTAATTGCTGTACATCAGTTGCTACAGCCCACAAAGAGTATTGCTTACCCAGACTGACTTCCGGTTGACGTCACAGTGAAAATGGCTTGGAAAATAGTGGGCTCCACCGAGCCCTGCGAAATTCAGCTGGTAACCGCTGTCAGGAGACCCTACGGAGTCAAAGCCACCTTGTAGGGGCAGCGAAGAAAGGAGAGGCGCTTTGTGGACCACGAGGAACTTGCAATTTCCTCATTAGGTCTGAAGCAAGCTCTCCTGAACAGAAGCAGGGACGATGGCCATTTTTGGCAGTCACAAGCTGGGACAACTGGCATCATAAGATTTGTGCTGGAGCAGTCCGTGGACAGAGCATTGAAACTGGGTGAGATAACTTCCAACTCTTACTCCAAAGATTTAATTTTAAAAAGATTTTAAAATATAGTCTCCAAGCATCAAGGAAGCGACGATTAGACACATGGAGAAGATTAAAGACTGAAAATTAAGAGGCAAAAGAAATGCCCAAGGGAAGCTTTAAAATACAGAAAGCCTGGAAAAAAGCTTAAACAATTTGAAAGGTGATTTTTGGGAGAAACTATCTTGCTTATTTGTATTTTTAAACACCCTGGATTTATTGGATAATCAGCTGTTTAAGGTTGGACTTGGAAGCAGGACAGCCATCTACTGGAAGAAGAGGAGCACTACAGTGTCAGTACTCTTAGTGAAAGTGAGGTCCAATACACATAAAGTCTAATACACAAAATAGAAGAAAGTAAATAACACCTGGAAGGTGGCCTGACCTTGACTCTATTCTAGAAGACGATTTGGATATTTTGAAAATACCTAATAAGTTTCTTTTTCCTCATGAAGATGAACTAAATTGCAAATAACTAAACTTTATTGAAACTGGCTATTGGATTTGAAAGATTGGAGGAACCTAGTGGATTAATTTGGATTTGGATTATTAAGGCTATTTGACAGAACATTCTACAAGGCAAAAGAAGAAAGGTGATAGAAGAAAAGAGAAAAGAAAAAAAGTTACATAAGACTTTAAAATTTGGACAATGGGAAGATATGTAATTGGAAAAATCACAAGGCTGTAAACTACTGAAGAATTTTAAAGATTATAAACTTAGGGGATTTGGAGGTATAACTATGGGATTGATTGAATTTTATTAAATTGGAGTTTTTAAATAATGGGACGTTGGAACCAAAGACGTATACTGAGTAATCTTTATTAAATTGTTACTATAGGGGATAATAGAGGCAAATGAAGAAATAATTTTGATGCTCAAAAACATGCATGAAACTATAAAGAACAATAAGGAAACAAGGGGATTGTCTAAAGATAAAGAAATGAATGTAAAAGCCACTCAACAATTGGGGGAAAAAGATGAACATGATATTCAGAAAATAGATGAGAAATTAGAAGAAGCAGTGGAAGGAAAAAATCAAAATGAGATGCAAGAAGATAAAGATAATGAAGAGAAAGGATTAATAAGTAGGAATCAATTGGATAATTCATTAAAAGCTTATAATAGAACAGAGGGGCAAAAAAGAAAAATCTCTTCAAAAAAGGAAAAAAGTTTAGAGAAAAAAAGAAAAATATTTTTTTAAAAAAGAAAGTCTTATTGATGGGTGTTCAAATAATACAGCAGAAAGAGACAAAAGGCAACCCGAAGGGAATGTTCAGTAGGTATAAAAATATCAAAAAGAGTTATAAGACTCCAAGAGAGAGAAATAAAAGGGTGATTAAAAAGTCAATAAATGATGGAACTCCAAAAAGGTTAAGAGATGATGGATACTGATAAAATATATTAATTAAAAAATAGAAAATACAAATAGGGAAAATAGTAGCATACATGTTAACAGATAATAAGGGCCTGGTGGCTCAGCAGACTAAAAGCACTGTGATTAACACCAACTGTCTGCAATTACTGCAAGTTCGAATCTCACCAGGCTCAAGGTTGACTCAGCCTTCCATCCTTTCTAAGGTAAGTAAATTGAGGACCCAGTTTGTGGGGGCAATAAGCTGACTTTGTATAAATATACAAAAGTATGAAGGCTATTGCTTAACGCATTGTAAGCCGCCCTGAGTCTCCGGAGAAGGGCGGCATATAAATAAAAAAAATAAATAAAAAAATAAAAAAATAATAGAATCTATTATAATTAAAAATAAACTAAACTTAGTAGGTGGAAGTTTGGGATTAGGTAATCTAATTGTATTATTAATATTAATAGTGTGTTAAAGTATATTGTGAATTTAAACTTTTAAGGATTAGAAATTGTGGGGATTTTGAGATATATTCCCACGATTGATTAAATTTTGTTAATATTTGGCCTTATTAGTAGCCCTAGACATTTGCGATATTGAAATTATGGTGGAATAATAAGTAATTTCCAAAATATTAAATATTAGTAACTTAGCAGAGGATAACAAATACATGGCATAAAGAAATGTTATTTATGTTTAAATGAATTAATGGAAAAAATGATAAAGAATTATAAAGAGAGAATTGTACTGTTGAAGTTGGAAGATTATGCATACTTATTTGTATTATTATTGTTAGCATTGTTTAAAAAAGATTTGACCCAATCAATACACTGTCCACAAAATATGTATGGTGTGTATATTAAAAAATAAACAAAATATTTTAAAAAAAGAGTATTGCTTACCCTAATCTCTCCAGACACGCAGAAGAAATTATATTGCGTTGGCATCCAGTATCAACTACAACTTGCAATTCCTTCCCATTACACTGTAGAGAGAAAGAGAGCATTTTTGCAAAATGTCAGCTGATGGTAAGTGAATTATCTGTATTTCTATTGTTTTTTAATATAGTTTTAGGCAAAAAGTTCTATTTCGATTCCAACCCCTAAGCATTTGGGACACAACAGCTGTGGTCGTAAACCCTTAGCCACACTTGACTTAACTAAGGGTTATTCAGTTTTTCCAGAAAACTTAATACAACAAAGTACCATAAATTAACAGCAGGGGGCTGAAGTTGCACAAAATGCTTGACTAAAGTATAGTTGAATAATTTGTGGTCCAATGGGTCATACAAACCCAGTCTTTGGATTTCTTTTATTTTTATACTGCTTTTTATTTAGGAGCTCAAGGAAGCACCAATAGCTCACAACAACTCTGACATAATGAGAATATATTTCACAGGGTTGACTTATTGGGTTCTTAATGTTCTCTGAGCTTGCATCTTTTCCTGTGCACCTAGCCTGATTATATTACCTTGCAGGGAGAGAAGCACACCAAGAAACAAGCATCGTAATAACTCTGTGACATAAGTTGAGCAAAGAGACAATGACTCACCCAAAGCCCACCCCATGAACTAATATTATTAAGAGTGGTTTCATTTATTAAAGGTCAAAGCCCTGTTATGTAGCCAGTCTATTTTTGGGACTATTAGATGGGAAAACAAAATGGAGAAATTTTAAGAAGTCAAATGCTGTTAGATAATCTATGTGAAAAATGTTTGCTGAAAAAAAAAAGTTGGGATGTATATGAAAGTGTACTTATGCCCACTTTTTATATGGAAGTGGGGGTTGGATATGACAGAAAAAAACTAACACGATGACTGCACTGGTAACGGGGTATTTAAGAAATTCATGATGCATGAATGTTACCATGGATCTTTTATTGTTCCTTGAAGTGGAAATTATATATTTTTTCTGTAAACTGTTAGTCAATTCCCTGAAACCAGCCATATGCAAGTTTAATAAGTATATGTATGTTGAAATGTTTGTTCATAAGAGATAACAAGTGAGAATTGAATTGCAAAACAAATATATGAAGGAACAATATGAGTTGAGCAAAAAGGGGAAAATAGTAAAATCACCATGGTTTGACAGCATTAATAAAATCCTGAAAAAAGGAAAGTAAGAAGTTTCAAAAGCAAAAGGCAATATATCAAACAGAGTGTAAACTCGGTGAAAGCAAAGATGGTTTGTAAAATCAGAAAAGTACAGAGAAACACAGTAAATAGTGTGGAAGTAAACTAGATTTAGCCAGATTTTATTTTCTCTTACTTCTTTCTTTTCCTTTGCATGCTATCGTTTTATTATTTTTCTGTACTGTGCACAATGTTTACCAAAGGAGAACAGAATTATATTGTTTTATTGAAGTAAGACTGGTTCACACATGAAAGATGCATGACATACACAAGACTAAAATGCAATCGCCTAATATGTCCTCAATGAATTGTGTAAACTCAGCCAGTTTATTTAATTTGCAGGCAATTGGGTTGAGTCAATGTTTTGTCTAGTGAAGGATCTCAATAGATATTGCTCAGAACATGGGGAATAACTCCAGGGCTTTAGGACAGAAGCTGAGCTATTGGAAGTGATTCCCATGATCACAGTTAAATCAGAGGAATAGCTGCGTTAGTTGTAATACAAATCACATAGGCTACATTTGTTATTCCTAAACCAACAGCATAGCTCTCAACTTCACCCTCATGCCTTCCCTGTGGATGGGTTCCAGAATGAATCTGAAAGCTCGGAAGACAAAACCTCTGCTCATAGTGACAACACCAGATTAGATCCTGCAACATTATCCTGGGACACATATATCACCTTCATTCATGACTTTCAACTCTGATGGTTAATCCAAACAAGATACAGGCAGCCCTCAACTTTATCCTCAGATTTGAGGAGGCCTGGAGCGGAATGCTCCTGAGTCCTGTTCTGGAAAGTTCTACTACTTCAGATGTAGGAATACAGAACCTTTGAAAGTAGAGGAACTGGACTAATGGGTCTCCTGCAGGACACAAAAGCTTACCTGGCAGCAGATGAGAATGAGGTCCTCTTCCTCTGTCTTGGGGGGACTATCCAGTTTCATTTGATTCAGTTTATTTGTCTGAGCTGAGAGATCATTTTTCTGAGAGCACGTCCCTCGGCTGTGCCGCAATCTTGACATATTTGTTTCCATGAGGCGTCTCTGCAAAATGTTGTGTGGTTGCTTAAAAAGAATTCAGGGCATGGGAGAAAACACAGGTAAAGCAAAGCCAGACTGTAGCACTTGGCAGTCATTTAAAGTTTCAAAGATCCAATGTTTAAAAATTAGGTACCGATCAGTAGTGATTAATTAGTAATGGATTGTTGTCAGCATCTGAATTTAAGCTGTAATTTATATAGACAAAGCAGCAACCATTACATTTATACTGTAATAGTCAAGTAAAAACATTTGTGCCTATGTCAGTTATGACCCAATTTTCAATACACAAATCTAATTCATTTACCACATCATCATAATTTAATTTATCCCTGTTTTAGTATATATCCCATTAGAGGCTGGGTGCACTTAACAGATTAAGGCAAAACCAGACAAGCATACTATGTTTTATGATAAAAGAGATCCTTCCCTGAAATAAGGAATCGTTTTCTCACTCATCTCTCAGTCTTGCTCTTATAGAAATGGCCAAAGAATTCAGCAAATGTATGAGAGAAAGAGCATTCATGTATCAGCTTGCTCTTGCCCATAATGCAGAAATTGATAGAGCTATTAGAAGTAGAGAATCTTGGCATTCTTTATTCTGTTCTGCCTCCTGAATAGCTGGCAAAACTTCAAGTCAATGTTTTTGTATGTTAGTGTTTTGTGCTTTCAAGTCAGTTCTGACTCCTGGCTACTGCAAAGATAAAGTCATTCTGAAAGTCATTTGCCAAATTGCCTTCTTCCTAGAGTTGAGAGGGAGTAAAGGGCCCAAGGTCATCCAGCTGGCTATGTGCCTAAGGCAGGAGTAGAAGTCGCAACCTTCTGGTTTTTACTGGTGTGCCCTTTTAACCATTACACTAAATTGGGTCTCTTATAACAGCTTGGCACAAAAAGAATTTCAGATAGTGTTGCTGCTTTTGCATATTAGCCTGATAAGCTGCTACACCTTCAAAAATCTTTTTCTTTCCAAAAATCTATTCAGGGACACCAGAAAGGCTCTTAATACAATGGTTATCACGTTTTGCAGGGAAAAGGATCTTATGTTCAAGACATAATTCCATGTCTGAGAAATAAATCCATCTGAAATGCTACAAATTTTCTGACACTCTGGACTAGGAGAGTTGATGCTTCTAACTCCCATTAAACTCGGCCATTCAGAGTGAATTATGCAATCTGTTGCTAAAAATATAGAGGACACTGCCATCAGCCAATCAGATGCAAACATCTTGACTCAGTGGCCAGCCCCTGAGCTAAAACAACATAAATGGAATACATAGCTATCGCTGCCCCTTCCCATGTTTTCAGTACATGCGCTGTGCTTTATCTGGCTGTTTTGAAGAAAAAATGAGAGGGATGAAGGAGAGGAAAACTCCCTGACAATCCAAGTCTTCACATATAAACCTATATATCTACTAAAATTAGTGATGATGGCATGACATTGTCATTTTTCCTTTGTACTGAGAGACTGGAAAATGGAATGAGAGAACAGTTCAACACATCCTGGTTATATGAAAAGAGAAAATCAAAGCAGGCACTTTTCTACAAAAACTAGAAAATGATTAGAATTATTAAGTTTGCCGATAAGGTTGCCTGAGAAGCTTATTAAAGAATTCTGAGTTCCAAAAATGGGAAGTATAGTGAACAATATGGGAAAATAGTCCCTACAAATAGGAAAATAACCCCCTGCCAAGCCCCACAGAGGTCCAGTGTTGTAAACTGCAGAAAAGAAGTTGTGTTAGAGCAGAGCTGGAAAAAAATCAGCTCAGTCACAAAAGGATGATGTTGAGTGATCAGACAACCAGTTGTCTGAAATGGTATAGGGTTTCCTGCCTGAATTGGGGGTTGGACTAGAAGACCTCCAAGGTCCCTTCCAACTCTGTTATTTAATTCTAATATTGAAATGGGAATGGGGGTCTTCCTGTTTTCCCATAAGATTGGTTTCCTGTAGGTATAAGTTTGTTCCTACTATGAAAAATAGCCTGTTATTTATTTAACTTAAAATCTCCCTTTTTTATTTTGTAAGTAGCTCAAGGCAGCAGTGAAAATATATAGTGCTCCTTCCTCCTCTCATTTTCTTGAGGACCAGAACTCTGTGATGTGGGTTGCACTGAGAAACAGTGATGGCCCAAGGTCCCCCAACTGGCTTTCATGCCTAAGACAGGACTAGAACTCACAGTCTCCTGGTTTCTAGCCTGGTGCCTTAACCACTAGACCAAAGTGGCTCTACCTAACTTATATGACCTGAACAAGAATAGCATTATGATGCTAAAGTCATTAACAAGAAACTACAGACTTAATGCAATTTACTTGTAACTGACTCTCAACCATACCCTGAAGTAATATATGTACAAACTAGTTATGATTTGAATTGTCTGATCCCAACTCAATAGTTCTTTATACCTGGAGACCAAGACATAGGCCACAAATGGTAGCCAGCATCTCATTTTGATAGAAATGGATATTTCAAATTGTATAATGGAGATTATACAATTTTAATAGATGAGTGAAAGTATATATCAGTTTACGGGAAAGAATAAATACTGTGAAAATGAGTATTACTTCAAGATTGATATATATTCTAAGATGATGTCTATGTTAATTTTACTTAAATAAACAAACTGCTAAATTAATGATTAACTTTTTTGGAAAGCTCAAACTCCAAGCTTTCCTTGTCAAACATAATATAAAAATCCATATTTTTTAAAAAATTGCTTTCTTTTTCAATGATATCACTAGGCACACTTGTAAACTTGTATTACCATTGTTTTATTGACAGTTGAAAAGAAAATATATACTGATAACATGCAGGGCTTGAAACTGGAATTTCACAAGTTTAAGAAATGTTGATATATTTCTTTTGATTTTAAAATAAGATTAATTCCTAAAAAAAAAATTTTCAAGTTTTTTCAAAGGTTGTTTAGAAAGTCTACAGAAAATCTATTTTCCTATGCTGGAGATGTAATATTTTTGAGGTGTTTACATAACTATATCATGTCCCTTGTTAACTTATTAACTGGATATTCTTGCTATAGTAATTTATAGTAATTTTTTTGGAAGAAAAATGAAGTTTAAGGATGTCCATGTGTTTTTAAATTATGTTTAAACGATTTGTCTATTTATTAAAAATTCTGGATTTATCATGCTCAAAAGGTTTTTTTTTTAATGAAATGTGTCAGCTCTCATATTCTAAATTGATTGTCTATCAATAGAGGAAAAACCAGGTAATGTGATTCCTTGTGGTCGAGATTCTATCTGCTGTTTAAAAACTGAGTTGCAGCAATTTTTCTATTGATGTTATTAGTATTGTATTATTTGATTTAACTGTCTTTTCTCTTGTTTGTTAGGTTGTTTTGTATAGTACATCTCTCTCTGTGTATGAATATCCGTGTACATACACATATATATGCTGTTTTATTTGTATTCACAGCAGTGGTGAAATCTAAAATTTATTACTACTGGTTCTGTGGGCGTGGCTTGGTGGTGGTGGGAAATATGACTGGGTGGGCGTGGCCAATTTTTTATTTATTTATTTATTTTACTTTTAAAACCATTTTTTAAAAAGCCTCTGCCTATCAGGCAACTCAGTTTGGATCGTTAGAGGCATTTAAAAGAAAAAAAAACCTTTTTTTCTTTTAAATGCCACTGCTGATCCAAGCTGAGTTTTTAAAAAAGCTTCTGCCGATCAGGCAACTCAGCTTGGATCGTCAGAGGCATTTAAAAGAAAAAAAGGGTTTTTTTCTTTTAAGAGCCTTTGACGATCCCAGCTGAGCCGCACAATCATCAGTGGCTTTTTTTTTTACTTTTAAAAGCATTTTTTGCCCGAAGAGGTTGTAGAAAAAATGCTTTTAAAAGTTAAAAAAAAGCCTCTGATGATTGTGCGGCTCAGCTGGGCATGGAGGGGTGGGGGTGGCAGGGATTTTTGCTACCGGTTCTCCGAACCACCCGCCTCCATTGCTACCGGATCGGGCGATCCGATCCGAACCGGGAGCATTTCACCCCTGATTCACAGGTTTTGCTCTTTTTTCTTGGAATAATAATTCAATATTAAAACATATTTAAATTTTTTTTAAAAAAACACCAAGGATCTCATTTCAGATCCCAATGCACTCAATATCAAGCTGTCTAAATTTAATGACAAAGGACAGAATTTCAGAGAATTTCAGTCTTTTCTGTCTCATGATGCTTATATATCTACATTTACCACTGGTAATATACAGAATCAAGCCAGAAGGTCATGACTCCCTTTTCAAATTGTGAACCACACAAAGGAAATTGAGAGAGAGAGAGAGAGAGAGAGAGAGAGAGAGAGAGAGAGAGAGAGAGAGAGAGAAAGAAGAGAAGATAAAGGATGGGAAGGAAGGAATGCTTGTCTAATTTGCAGCTGATGCCAAACTAGGGAAATTATGTAATACTCAGAAGGCAAAATCATAATTCAAAACAATGAAATCCTAAAAGATTATGTTTAATCACAGCCCTGCACTAGAAGAAAAATCAAAGGCGAAGGTACAGAAGACCTGATCTGACAGCAATATGTGGAAAAAAGATTGAAGAGTTTCAGTGGACCTTAGCTGAATAGGAATAAACAATGCAACGAGGCAGCTACAAAGGTTAACACATTTTTGACAGAACATTTAATAGAAGGATAACCTTCAGAGTGTGGGAGATGACTCCACTGCTGGTATTGGTTAGACCACCCTTGAAAGATTTGCCTCCAATCCTGGACATCATAGTTTAAAAGACATGTGGATAATAAACTAGATTGGTTTCAGAGATAAACTTCCAGAAAGATAAGATACATGAAAACAAAACCCTAAGAAGAAAGAGCTGGCTATGTTTACCTTTCAAAAACAAAGAGACCTGGCAGTTTCTACAAACAATTAAAAGACTGCCATTTCAAAATGAAGGAAACCTGAAAGTGAGGCACAGAGATGTGTCAATAGGTTGAAATTAAGAGAGATTTGCATTGAATAGCTAGATGAATTTCCTGATGTTAAGTGTGGCATAGAAGTGGAAGAGTTACCTAGGAC